TTCTATGTTCATTTTTTCGATTTCTGGTTTTCGATAGAGATGGTGATTTTTCACGATTGCTAAATTTTTTTAATATTTCAAATACCGAAAAAATTAACTGAACTCTCAAGAAAAACGAAAAATTCATATAAAACGACGGACGAGAAATGGAAAAGAAATTTTCTTCTACCAAAATTTCTTAAATCAGTTTGCAGCTCTCAAGAAAAAAAATGCTCGTATATTTATTCCCTCATGAAAATTTACAGCAAAAGCAAAGCGCTTTTTCAAGCAACAGAAATTATAATAAATATTTCTTATAATTTCCTTGAGAGCTGGATTCTTAGCTTTAAGATACAGATTGTATTTGAGGTTATTAGCTTTAGGGGGGGGTTTGAACCCCAAAACTCACCCCTTGTGTGCGCTAATGGTTCAGGCCCTATATTCCATGCGCTTTGCCCAATGATTTATGTATGTATATTCTCTCAACAAACTAAGATATTCACGTAAGCGTAAACTGTAATAAATGCCATTCCAAAATTTTGTAATTTTAATTTAGTTAGATTTGCGATGCCAAAATTATTACAAATTTTGCAACTAAACTAATTCTCGCTTAAAGTATTAACCTTAGTTACTGCCAATTAAAATGTTCATGACTAATTGACAATTTTTTTAAATGGAGCCATTCAAATAAATTGTCTTAAGATTAGTGAAAGGCTGACGATAAAAAATAATTAAATTTTCTAAAACCTTATAATGTTTGCCGTAACCGCAATTTTGTAACTTCTTAACTCCAAACTCCAAATTCCATTTCCATTTTCTGCATAATGCAACCAAAGCGCTATCCAAAATTGAGAGACATAAAATATTTAAATGAGGAAAAACTATGTTAAATGCATTTTGTTAAAGAACAAAAAAAAAATAACAATTAAAACCAAAATACTAATTTAAACATCTACGAGCGTACATACATATATATATATATATACGAACAGCCGTATGTTTGCATATACATATGCATACATACTATATGTAGAACTAGCGTGTATGAGGCTAACCAGTTGCGCTTCGCCAAAAAAATTAAAGTTGCCAGGCAACATTTAGTACCGAATCGAATCGAATAATTAGATAAATATAAAAAGAAAAATAAAGTGAAGAATGGCAAATGGAACAAGCACAACGGCGGGAGCAACCAAAAAAGAAAACTGAAAGTTTAAGTATTATTCTTCATTGCATAAAGTGGATTAACCTGCGCTCTATGCGACGCCTCGGCGATGATGGGGTGCACAGGTCGACAGAGCGGCAAAATTGCCAACAGTCTGACTGGTTCTCAAGGCATAAATATTCTATGTACATAATTACATATATACATATATGCAAGTACTTTGAGCTGCGAGAAAAAATGTTTCAATAAAAATATTCTATACAAATATGCACTTATCCATATACATATGTATGCGTATGTACTTGGCCTACAAAATAGTGCCAATAATTTTGCGCGCACATATGCATATACTGAGCCGGATTTATGCACAGGCTACATAGGCGCCAGCCTAGGGGCCCGCGCCACAAAGGGGCGTGCGCCACATGCAAAAAAAAAAATAAAAATAAGTGAAAAATTATATACATATTTAAAATTTTTAAGAAACGTAAATGGCACTGAAGGCGATCGATCAAATAAATTTTTAGTTCATTTTCTACCCTAATCGAAGGGCATTCACATTGTAGTAAAACATAATATAAGTACTAAATAGCTGATTTAGTTAAGTAAGCAAAATAAAATGCGTCGTTTCGTCGAGTCGACGACAGGCAAATGGAGTACGCGTGCCACCGGCATGGCCATAGGGGTCAGAATGATTCCACCGACTCCTTTGTGTCGCAGTGGTGTTCGCCTCGCTCGTCAAAACAGTGAATTTGTCAATATACAACTTCACAATAAGAAACGTAGTTTATTTTTTTTATTGTAAAAGTATATAATTTATACAAAGTATAAATGAAGAAAAAATTTAAATGTGGCTGTGGTGCAAGTTACTACCATACCTAAACAAACGCGTTGAGTGGGGTGTTTTCTGACGCCTAGCGCAGAGTTTACCCTAGGAAAAACAGGTTTGTCCTAAAACCGGATTTGACCAGTAACATATGTATACATTTTTTTCTTTTTAAAACAATAAAATCTAAAAATTGAACCAGAAAAAGAAAAAAATTAAAACAAAAAGGGGGTTACAAAAAAAAATATTTGATTTTTAAAAGAAAATCAAAAACTTAAAAGAAAATTTTATATATGAACTTAATGATAAAATGACTTTCAGGTCCATAAAAACTCAAAAATATTGTTTATTCACTTTGCATACAGCGCGAAAAATTGTGTGTGTAAATATTTTTTTCGGCCCTGTACGTATGTGGAAAATTATTATTTTTTTTTTTACATTCAATACCGATCCTACTATGCAAAACAAAAAAGTATAACGTGGTTTAAAATTTACAAAGCATTTATTTTTAGATTTTATAGAAAAACCTAATCGTAATTTTTACCTGTAAGCTTAGGTTATGTTTACAATTTAAAAATCTAAAATATGGAGAATGGCCGTGGCCGCAACACGGAAAGAGCCTATGGGCCCATAGATGCTAAATCCGGCACTGCGCACATACATATTTGTGTATGTATTTAAAAAAAAATAAGTTTGTTTGGCTATCTATAAGGGGTACATATTTATCGAAGATAGCATTATAGTTTATTAAGACACATTTGAAAATTTGCTGTGGCCTAAAATCTTTAGAAACTGCGCCTATTTCAATTTTGGATAGGAAAACCGCCATTTCGTATTTTTCAAAAGCAAATATATAATATGTACATAAGGGTGCGTCACTCTCCAAACAGAAAAAATTGCACTCCTATATTTATGACTTCCGCCCAAAATATTTCTGAAAAATATTAGGATTTACATGAGCTTGGCCGATTTGAAAAACTTGCAAATATAGATTTTTTTTTATAAATAAAATAAGTTGTTAATATATTTTTACCAAAAATTCACCGCATATGAGAGAATAGTTTAAGCTTAAAAGGTCTGCATAAAAATATTTAAAAACTTTATCAACGGCATCAAAGAAATGAGATTTTTGGAGGTACTTTTAAACGACCCAGCTCATGTACATCTTAATACTTTTCGGAAATATTTTGGCGAACGTCTTAAAGTATAATAAATACTAGAATTTCGCTGGAAAAATTGCAACTTTTTTTTTGATGGGACACCCTAATGTACATACATATATCCCAAGTAGTTCGGCCTGCCGCATCACCCTGTACATAAACACTTTTAGTTACTCATACTCAAATGCCGCAGATGCATTATCAGTGTCTACATCCAACTTACATTGAAGTTATGCTGCACTTGCAACAGCTGCAAAGCAACTATGTATGTGTGGACTTACACACATACAGCGTGCCAAACAAAGCCATGTTAGCAGCTACCAAACGCGCCATTCAAGGTTGGGACAGAGCAATGTGCGCAAATTACCAACCGCAACAGCATTCAATGTCAAGTCCGTCAATTCCTAGCGTAGCCGCTTGGCGCTGCCAACAAAGTGCAAGTTTTCAAGTTTCACACAGCCAAAGCACGTCTCAGCATCTCTTTAATTTATGCAAATGCGGTTAAGTTGGCATTTTAAATAAAAGATTTTTCACTTGAAATTAAATTTTAAAATTCAATACTTATTGTTGCAGGTTTTTCGGTAGTAAAGCGCACATTTTAGGGGTTCATTTCAGTTTCGTAACTTCTTTGAATTTCAAGTTTTGTATTATGTATTAAAATAGTATTTAATTTTATTCTTAGATACTTATTTATTAAGCAGTCAAACTTCTTCGCCTATAAATATTAGATTCTAAATTATCTTTGCCGCTTAAATAAAGGAGTTACATTATAAGAACAAAGACCTAATCAATGTATGGGATATACCGATATTGTTCGCTTCTAATAAATGATTAATATTTAAATACATTTAGTTTTAGTCGAATATTTCGTTCAAACAAAAAACAATCGGAGGTGACTAAATCGACTCAGCTCGTTGCCCTGATTCTTCTTCTTTTTGATTGGCGCTATAGCCGCTAAAGTGATTTTGACCAAGATCGATTTAACGTACCAGACGCACCTAGCTACTTGGCGCCAATAAGGAACATCGAGTGCCTTACCATCTACTCAGCTCAAAGTAGCACTTCTTTGCGAATTCGACAGGACAGAAATTTTTACTTGCAAAAAAAAAACTTTGCAAAATCAGACGTTCTAATTAATAATCTATTGTTTTTGCTGTCGATAAAATGTCTTTTTCCGAAATGTGTTAAATTGTTAAAATCCCAACACGCAGCAAAAATGTTTGTATGTGAGTAGCTTAGACCGGAAGTAGCTGATTGCCAAAATAATTTTTCCAGAACTTTTATTGTTTATGTATATTTTAGGTACATTTGAATAAATAATAATTAATATATGCAAATAGATAAATGCATGCTTACATATACATATGTATGTAAAATAGGGTGGTCCAAAAACAGTAAAGTCGGAATTGTAACGCTCTCGCCCCTAGGATTGTTCTTTATCGAAGAAAAGTATACCCCATTTTTTTTTTTTTTTTGAAGTCAAAAAATATTTAGAGTTGGCTCAAAGCGCTCAAAGTTTTCCATGTATTTTTATATGGGGAAAATAAAATTTTTCGTAGAAATGGTATAGAATTCTTGAAAATCAATATTTTTCGATCGGAAAACCCTGGTAGACCTTCAGTAGACTTTCAATAATAATACCCAATTGTTTACTTAACAATTTTTTAATACTAACGATTTTTTATTGGTCGCACCATTACGTTTTTCGGAGTTTTTTGCGGACCAGTAAATTATAGTTGCGATGAAAAAATGGCTAAATAAACAATTGGGTATTATTATTGGAAAGCTCCTGTATAGAACAATCCTAAGGGGTGAGAGCATAAAAATTCCGACTTTACTCTTTCACATGCATTTTTGGACCACCCTAATGTACAACAATGAAATACATTATTGCTATTCGACGAAACACATGTGATAGCAATTATGAAAAAAGAGTACCTACTTTAATAAAATAAACTAAACAAAAGGCAGTGAAGTGAATCCCTCAACTGCATAGATGGGTATCCGAACGCGCCTCTTTTAGCATATATGTGAGTAGGATCGACCAATTGAACCATTCCAACCTAACACAGCCTTGAAGTTTCAAGGCAAAAAGTTTCTACATATTTGAACCCTGTCCTGCTCCTGTCGTCAACGTTGTTTACCTTATGAGGACTCCAAGTTTTTTTTTTTAGTTTCTCTCAATTGTTTATGCTAGAATAGTGGGTTATAACCTTTTCCTTTCCTTATAGTAATGCCTCCATGTTCCATCCATCCATGGTGAAGTATATGTACATTTTATTTACCATTTTATTTAGTGGCAAAATGAGTTATTTTATTCCCAATCCCATACAATGAAACTTTTCCAATTAATTTACTATGGTGCCTGATATCCATTGAAATTCCCTATCTAGAAAGTTATCAAAGTCTAAAATCAGGTGAAAATTAAGAAAGCTGCAGAAATAATATTAGGCAAACAAATTAGGTATTGAAAAAGGCCCTTTAATTAATTTGAATTGTTTATGCCAATAAAGATTGATGGTCGAAATTCGAGGATCAACTCGTGTGTATATCAGTCTTTAACATAAAATTTTTTTCAAAAATATTTATTGTAAATTTTAAAGGATATTCAGGACCTCCTTCGTCCTTATGGACCAACATATTTAAACTTTTTTAATTTTACAGAATTTTTTCCTTTATATGATACCCACAATGTTATTTTATTTTGCACAGAGTGTTTTAAGTATTTTTTTAATTAATTATATCTTCAAAGTTTCAAAGTTCTTTTAAGAAAAATTACAATAATAATAAGATTTTTGGGACTGTTTCAATTATAGTAGAACGTCAATGTCAGGATTTAATGAGGATGTTTTAAAGCTTATATTTTTCTGGTGGTTTTTCAATTGTTTCTATAACCCTTGGTGGCTGAAAGAGCTACAAAAAATTCCATGGCGCATTTAAAATTACGAACCATTGAATACGGAAATACTTACGATCAATATTATTATTTAAGAATCTTCGCTTCATATCACACATACAGATATCATATGTACATATGTAACTATGTATCGATGGACATTATGAATGCGACCTCAAATATAATTTTGCGAGATTTCTATAAACCAGTTCTCTCTGAATGTCAGCTTGTCTTTTAACAAGTTCAATTTTGTTTTTTTTTTTTGAGTGTTTTCTTTTAATTTATTCGTGAGCCGTATATTTTATTTATCTCTTAAGTAAATTTTATTACCTACAACAATCGAGCCAAGCCTCCTTCTGTGTAAAAGAGTGCCTGTGTCACTTAAATTGATTTATTTCTTAAAGTGAGTTTTTAATTGAACTAACTGAACAAGTTTATATTCGATTTCCGTTTGAATGTAAATCAACGTACGCATTAACAAAATTCAGATTTCTAAAAAAGAACTAGCAAAATTTTACGAGTTCACGTGCAACTCTCTAAACTCTTTCTAAGCGATTCAATTGAAATTGGTGTCCCTGTTGTAGCGATTTGTATTCAAAGTTTTTGTATTTTCTTCACTACATACATACATATATTCCTTAAAAATGGTGTCCGCTTTTAAATTTTTTTATTTCTATCGCAACCTGACAGGAATAGCTGATGAGTCGTAGTTATTTTTGAACATTTCATTAACACATTCTATATAGTAGTATTTATGCTTTAGATTCTTTAGAACTTATTTGGTAGTTAGCCGAAGGAAACCATAGACGCATAACTCGAATTGGTAATGACTTCAAGGCAAAAAACGTGTGTGTTGGTTGGCAACGAATTTATTTATTTATTTAGTTAGCTGCTGGAGAGAATACGAATATATTTATCCTCTAATACGAGTATGCCGACTAAAAGAGCGGCAAAGCGATGCGAGAGGGAGAAAAATGAGCTCATTTCAGCTATTTTTCAGCTTATATATTTTTTAGTTTTTTTTTTTTTTTTAATAAAAACCAATTATATAAATTCATCAATAGCAGTTTTCAAAAGCGACGCGCGTGCATAGTATGTTATGCAATCATGTATGTACTTATGATTTACGGGATGTGCTGAAAATAAAACTCAAATGATTCAAATGATTTATTGCTGAAAAAGCTATTTTTGAGAGTTAAACATTTTGCTGATTGATTTATGTCTATAACATTTTAGATAAAAAAATATATTTAGTTAACTTAACTTTTAACTAACTTTTAACTTTTGTTGCCCTCTGAATTTTGTATTCAAAAATCTAATATTTTTTTTGCGGTTTCTCTTCCCTCTTACAGATGGCTCCAAATCTGATAGGCAGCACTTTCCTTATCGCCGAAACGGCAATCACCAATAATAATAATGACGCTAACAACAACAAGCAGGCTACATTAGCTAAGGGCACCTGCAAAACAGCAACAAGCAACAATGATCGCGTACCGAATCAGGGCGAGTCAGCAGCGGCCATCAGTCGTCAAAACTCTGCCAAGCCAGTGGCGCAAACTCAGAACAAAGCAGATACGACTACGCAGAAACCTTATAAAATGGAAATCGTTTGGTTCAATGTATTCTTATTTGTGTTATTGCATTCGAGCGCACTCTATGGTGTATGGTTAATTTGGGCTGAGAACGCTTATCTGGAATTTGTAATTGGTGCGTTTATGATGGAGTTACATATATGTAATTTTTTTGTTTAATTTACTAAATATATATATATGCTTTCTCTTCCTCCCATCGCGTACGATAGGCTATTTTTATGCCATACTTGGCGGCTTGGGCATCACTGCCGGTGTACATCGTCTATGGTCGCATCGCGCTTACAAAGCCAAACTGCCATTACGTATATTCCTTATGCTTTGCCAATCGCTCGCGTTCCAGAACAGCATCTACGAATGGTGTCGCGATCATCGTGTGCATCATAAATTCACCGATACCAATGCGGATCCGCACAATTCGGGTCGTGGTTTCTTCTTTGCTCATATGGGTTGGTTGATGTGCAAGAAGCATTCCGATGTAAGAGAACGTGGCAAATGCATTGATATGAGCGATATTTTGGCCGATCCTGTAGTTCAGTTCCAGCGGAAGTGAGTAAAGTTAAAAGCGAAATTTTGAGTATTATTTTCGAACGAAGTGTTAATTTTACAATTAGTAGGGTTTTGAAAAAAGGGGGAAATTTAGAAAATAAAATCCGTAAATAAATTGTAAGTGTAAGTAACACTGTGCGTGAAATCGTTATCAATGATGGCAAGGGCGCCATTATCGACAGTAATAATGATAAGGATGACGGTAGATTGACGATAACTATGGCGCTTATGGCAGCGATAACAATATTGATAACGATAGTAGTTTCGATAACGATAACACAGTCGTTAGTGCCTACAATTACGATAGAGGGAATGATAGCTGCGTCGATAACGAAAAAAAATTTCGATAACGACAACAATGTCCATAACGACAACAATGTCGATAACGGTAACAATTTCGATAACGATAACAATTTCGATTTGTGACACTTTGTCCTTCCCTCTTTTCTGCCGAAAATGACTCGTTTTATACCTAACTCTCCCCTTTCTCGCTTACAGATACTACTTTGTTGTAATGCCCATTTGCTGTTTCGTCCTTCCGGCACTATTCCCCTACTTTGTGTTGGGCTCATCTCTCCAAGTTTGCTTCTTCGTTTGCTCAATGCTTCGTTATGCACTCTCGCTGCACGGCACTTGGCTGGTGAACAGCGCTGCTCACTTCTACGGCATGAGACCATACGAAAAGAACATCAGTTCGGTTGATAGCAAATTTGTGTCGATCATTGCTTTTGGCGAGGGCTGGCATAACTATCATCATGTCTTCCCATGGGACTACAAAGCGGGAGAATTGGGAGCATACAAGCACAATTGGACCACAGCTTTCTTGGATCTCATGGCACGTATTGGTAAGTCGTTAGTGATAAATGCAGAAAGCAGTAGTAGCTCAAAATATGTATACTAAAATTTTTTTTCGTTGCATTTTTTTTCTCATAGGTCAAGCTTACGATTTGAAATCGGTGTCACAGGAATTGATTCTGAAACGTTTACAGCGCACCGGTGATGGCTCACATTACTCTCTGCATGACTTAAATAACAACAATGTGAACATCAACCAGCTGGTGTCGAAACTCGATCATGAGAAAGAGGATACCATGATTTGGGGTTGGGATGATACGGATATTTCCAGCGAAGATCGTAAGGGCGCGCTTTACGAGAATAAGGAAGAATAGAAGCATTTCAGTTTACAGTGCTCGTACACAGATTCATTTTTTTGCTTTAGAATAGGACAGTATTTAATTAGTAAAATTATACTTGGTGCCTGTTTGAAGCTTCCTATTCTCATGCTACCGTTATCACACTGAACAAATTTCATTAAAAAAAAAAATCCAAAAAATACAAAAAATACGCACAACCACCAATATCTATATGTAAAAGTACGAACACCAACAACATGTTTTTATAGACGTCTTTGCAATAAGCGCATACTCAATGTACTTGGAGGAATCTACATATATGTATATACATATGTGTCCTGAGGGGGAGGGATGGAGCAGTTTGCGCACTATTTAGTAGCTGACGTGGAGGAAATAATGAGGAGAATTTCTTTCGAAAGTGAAAGGAAATGTGAAATGCAGCTAATGATGATAATGATGATGTTGAAGATGAACACAACAACAATAATTTTGAACGTACGTACTTTTAAGAGGAGGTACTATGCGGCATACATACTTTTAACGTTAAGGGAGGTAGTTCACATACAACATACAGAGTTAAGGCTAGTTCTAAGGAGATTGCTTGTATAGAGTTTTAAGAGTTTTTTTTATATTTTTATTTTCGTCTTAGAACTCAAACGCGAACGTTTGTTTATTTTTTTTTTATAAACATACGCACAATAAATGTAATGAAACGCTAGTT